ATTTACACTGTATGGTCATAGCTGGGAAGTTAAGAATTCCAGTGCTAAAGAATTCCAGTGCTAAGGCCCAAGGTTCCTGTCCATCCAGGAAATTCCACCAGATAACATATGGATGCATGATCTGATAAGAGCACATAGAGAGCCAGCAGATTGGGGGGGACGGGACGCAGTAGTAAAATGCCAAAAGGACAGGAAAAGAAAGGCGGGAGAAGGTTAAGGTCAGGAGAACGTTTCTAAACAGTCCACTCAGAAAGATGCAAGCAGCTGCCAGCCAGCTGCTGAGAGCAATGTGCTCCCATTTACCTGCAAACTTAATCTGCAAAGATTTTAATTAAAGATTTTAAGAAATTGGTTTTATGCAAATTACAGCATGTGGAGGGTTCTCTTCCGCTTGCTCGCCTCCAGTACCGCTTTTCTGTGATAAATTTGTAGGTGCCACTGGGTTTTCGTTCCTTAGTTAGTTTGTTTTCAATTGCTCTTGCCACACGACTGCCATTTATGTTATATCTGGGTGTTTTGCCAAGAAGCTTTGTTTTACTCCTTTGTAGTGAAGTGCTGAAGCACCAAAATAGGTGTGGTATATAAATTAAAGTAATACATAAATAAATAAACATGAGATACTGGGGAAAAAAAGATAAACATGGAAAGGGGGGGAGGAAAAAGCTCTGACCTACACGTGAAGCTGCTCAGCACCCTCTGGCTCTCTGTCAAAAGCACAGAGAGTGGCTCCGTCTCTCAAAAACCCTGTACAGTGCTTAGGGAGGAAGCGCTATGCTCTGACTTACACCCCCTAATCAGTATCTGCAGTTAGGGCATGGGACCCGCCCTGCTGGACTCCTAATTCTCCCTCAATTCCTGCTGATCCCAGCTCCCTATACAATCACCTTCCACTTCTTGCCTCAAGGCAGAACGAGTTGTTTGGCGGGGACTCAGGCCTGGGGCGTTGGGTGACTGCCAAATAGCTGCAAAATTGACAGGAAGGACGTGAGTGGCGAGGTGGACATTTGAAGAAAAGAAGGGACAGAAGAGCAGTGGGAGTCATTCTCTGGCAGCTGTTTTTCCTAACCGGGTGAACTCCTCATAAATGTCCTGCTTAGCAATGTAAAATTTCCAAAAAATTCTGAAAAATTCCATTTTTTCCGGGGGGGGGGGACATGGAAAAT